AGAGAGAAGAATAAGATAAATTGTTGAAATTGATTTACAATATTTTTTAAAAAAGATTTAATATTTAGATTTAAAAATTCAAATTAAATTAATTAGTTGGTTTTAATAATAATTACAGGTTAAAAATAAAAAGGATTTACGAGATTTTAAATACGTAAACTTATAAGATGATGTTTCTTCGAAAAAAGTTCGATAGTATAGTAGATATTTAAATTTAAAAAAAGTAAGACATTTAAATATATTGTTAAGTGTGATCTTTTTTTTTTATTTTTTATTATCTTCCAAATTTTTTTACCCAATTTTTGTGTTTCTCATTATCATTTGCAGATAAATTTCTATTTATTATTTAAAAAAAAAAAAGACGAAGTGGAAACACGGAAAGATACAATGTCTGGTTGTAAACAAATATCTATATTATCATGCATTACCGAGTTAGATGAATCTTCACCAAAAAAATGTGCAGATCAAGCAACAACTATACTCGTATCACCGATTTCTGGAATTGTTCATGAATTAATGAATACAACACTCTCGCAGCATAATTGTTCGAAGCGCAAGAACAATATAACCAACGAGAATCTAGGTAAGTAGAATCATTTCTTCTTAAATACGATATTTTTTAATTATTAGATTTTTTTAAATGAGTATTACAATATTTTTATTTATACAATAACTCAATAACTTTCTGATTCATAAAATCAACCCAGTTTGAGTTGATTGATTACTGAAGATCAAAAGATATCTGAGTTGTATGTGGAGGGGAAAGGAATTTAAAAGAGGCGGTGTAGAGGGTATAGAAGGGAAGAGGAGAAGGAGCGGAAGAAATAAGTTAGTCAGTTTGGAACAAGTATTATACGTACATACTTGGACTGAACAAATAGAAAACCAGTGTAGAATGGATTGTTGTTTCGAATAACTTCAAACATGTCGTTTCCCTAATCTATCCTAAAACGAAACGGCATGACTCATCTAACAGAATGACTAATGGAATTAATAGTGAACTTTAAAAATCAAAATGAAATGTTCAACTACTTTTAATCGGGAGAAATATCATTTGAATTAAAAAGAAAAAATTTGATTAAGAATTCGGTGTATAACCGTTAAAGGTTACTGATCAGAACTTGAAGGTTCAGATTGCAAGACCTGCCTTACCGGCTCCACGAGAAATGCTAATATACCGAAACCCTCGAGAATACAAAAACCTCGGATACCCCTCACACCTTATAGACCCTGAAACCCTTTTACCATTACTTGGTCATTTTCTCTCTTCTTTCCCCTCCTTTTTTGATTTCTTTCATTTCATGCGTTCATGAAGTATCTCTCTCCGCCTTTTTTTCTTCATATCGCTTTTCTTCCTTTTTTTTAATCGGTTTTGTACTCGTCAAAATATTCTAATGTGACGTTCACTTTTATTACCTGTTTGGCAACGATTAGAATATTAGAACAATACGTTTGACGTTTTTTATTAGTTCGAAAATAGACGTTGAAAACACGTTTATCGCACGCGATACGAAAGAGCGCCGTTAAACGTATTTAGTTAGCAGCTGTGTTATTTCATGAACAGTGACCTTTGTTAATCGCCATTTGTGCTTTATCATATATTATGCTGCAATACACACACACACACACACATATATATATATATACACTTAATTATACATTTTTTTAGATACTCTTTTATGTCGTTATTGAAGAAAAATTTAAAAAGACAATACAATGTAATTGAAATATATTTGTTAAATTTTTCTTAAATTTTTGAGGAATAGAGAATTCGTTTGTTAATTATCTCGATCCTTTTGACACGAGATAGACTGTTAAAATAGAATAAAATAAAATTAATAAGTGAAATTATTCAATAAAAAAATTATTGCTTATCACATAATTAATTACGAATTGAACCAATTCAAAAATAGAGAAAAGATAAAAAAATAATTTTCCAATATTTCCCCTAATGATTTTGTCAATCAATTTGCAAAAGTATATAGTTCTCTCGACGTACTCTCTATTCTTTCTTTTATGTTGGTCGACATGGTAGAATGATTTGCACCTGTGTAGGAAACGAGCGATACATATTTTTCTCGTTACACGATTTGCGCCATGTGCATTGAAAATTCTTATCTTTTTCATTTTCATAATTTTTGCTGCTGTTTGCAAAAATTATAGGTATTCACAAGGCAGAAATGAACTAGCAAGTGTACAACTTTTCTTCGTCATCCGTCATTTTTCGATCGACCCGATTCGATCGATGCTCCCGATTAAAAAAATCGATCTTGATTGACAAAACGTGCGAAGGCGTGTTCCATCGAAAATGGAGAAAAGCAAATTTTTAGCGGATTTTTTTTTTGATCAACAACAAAATAAAATAAAAGCCAAGATACGAAGCAGGAGACTGGCACGAGAAAAATGAATAATGAAACGATCGATAACTCTTATTACGTGTGCGTTGTTTTTTTTTTTTATGTTTTTCAGTAAGGTTGGAGAATGATATCGCGGAAAGAAAGGAGGAAGAGAAATGGATGAATGGAGAGGACAATGGAAATGAGGTATAAGGAAAGAAAGAGGAGGGGGAGAAAGTATAGGATGGAAGAACAACAGGAGCAATTAGGTGTAGTCGGGTACTAGAGCGTTGAACGATAGAGGGCAGGAAAACGATGGGGCGCTAACGTGTGCCTCTGGTGTCTCCCGTGCTCCTGGATATTCCAAGGGGTCGGCACTTACCCCACTAGGGGAAGGTAAGGGCTCAGGGGGCAGACATATGAGCACACATGGGACGACAGTCACCACCTGGCACTGTGTAGCCGAATGCTTACCAATCGAATATACGAACATACGCGAGTGTACTGGTGGTGGGTACCCGAGTGAAACGCGTTGCAACCCCACAACCCTCCACTTGGCTCGTGCCATCGTACATTGTCGTAGGCCTTTCTGCTTTCGCGTATCAACTCGAAGACGGTTAAACGCGGATGTATCCTCCTCGGCTTCTTCATGCTTGCATAATCATTGTAATCCGTCTCTCCCCGCGAGAGTACGATGAATTGAACGTTTCTTGAATGGTGTATTTCGAAAATGGACGCGGATAAAAATCTTCTTCAACCGGATCGGACGGAACGAGTTTATTTTTTTATTAATCAAACGATTTGCCAAGATTCGATTCTCATTTCGAACGAGCTTCTTCTAACGATCGATAACGCAGTTACGGCAGGCTCCCGCATAACGTACGCATGATTCATAACGTACTCTAATGATTATCGAACATACGTTTAACATCTGCATCCTAATCTCTCTCGTTCTCGCTAGCCTGGTCCGTGGTGACTCTACATGCTCGTCCGTTGCTTCGTTATTTATTCTTTATTTATAGAACGGATATTCATGATGTCGAAAATAGATCTGGTAGGAGGAAAGTCGATATATGTAACGTATCGTACAAATGCAGTTCAACCCCCATCTTCATTCTCTCTCTCTCTCTCTCTCTCTCCCTTGGCGGTATATATTTATAACCAGTGTCACAGCGTTTTTTTTATACACGTGTTCCATTTCGCTCCCGTTTCAGCTTCTTCGCTTCGACACGAGATATTTCCTAACTAAAATTATAATAATTTTTTAATTCGAATAGAAAAAAAAAAAGATTAATTAATTATTCGTACGGATCATATTATTTACACTTGATGTAATAAAAAAAAAATTCATTTTCTTTCATTTTTCTTCTCATTTTTCACTCTCGTAATCTCTTTTCGAGTGATTCATAATTTGTTTGGCAACTCAGGTATACGAATAAGGTGGGCGGTGAAAAGGTTGGTGGTCAGTCGCGAAAAGAACTCTATTCGTTTCCGTAACCGTAGCCGCGTCGCCGTAACTGTAGCCGTAACCGTAACCGTAACCACCGTAACCGAACTATCTATGTTACCGTGCAAAACAAAGGAAGTCAAGATAGAGAGAATAGTTGAAGAGGGGGGAAAAAACTTATTGTTCATTTGCGTCGTATCCGAAAATGATCGAATTAGAAATACATGATACATGTTCATGTTTGATCAGATTCTCTCCTACGTGTCTAATTAATTCCTTTTCCTTTTCTATGATCCGGCTGATAATAATCTTTACACGGAAGTATTAGATTCTAGAGTTTTATTTAAGATTCGTAACGAAAGCATTCAAAACGAAAATAAACATTACGTAAAGATAGTGCACGGTAAGAAGGTAGCTACAGGTAAAACGAACAATTGTGATACGTTCGTCACAGAGACTGCACCAACTTCCTGCGGAAATATTTTACAGTGGAGCAGTAACGAAGAAAGGCGTTCCGGTCTTCTAGCGACCCTATTTTCGTATTACGATCACACTTCCCTTATCCTTTCCTTTCCGCAAGATGCCTGTTAATGCCATTCGATCCCCGAAATAAGTGTTCGAATAATTACGAATCGATTGATTCAATCGGAACGTATGTTTTGGATATCAGATATTTTGTAAAAGAAAATTTAATTTAAAAATTAATTTTTTCCACCATATTTGTTATCGATTCTTAATTCAAAATCAAGTATCGTTCCGTTGTTTTTGATTTCAGATTCGTACCAACATGGACACTCCGATCCACTCCGGGGATACCACGAGGGGTAAGCGTGCTTTCTGTTTTTCTATTTTGTACGCGAGTACAATCCATTCGACCGAATTGTTGGTTCCGTGCCAATTTCTTATTTAAGGACTATATTTCACAAGGAATGTATTCCATACCTGAAATATTTTAAAGACAGTTATAAAGTAATCTCGCGTTCGATGCCTCGTTTACCGCTACAGGCCCAAAGTGCTGGTCAAAACCATTCATGTTTTCTAGTTCCATTCATTGAAGCCTCGCGGGGAAAATCCACTTGTCTTCTCTTTCTCCGATTCCCACATAGCTCTTGCTATTCATTTCACTTCGATACCCTTCTCTCGTATTCTTTCTTCTCAACTTATTCTTTCACATTGCCCTAATCCCTTTTCCCCCTTTTTCTATTCTTCCTTTCTTTTTTCAAACTAGCCGGCAATTAAAACTCCCATTAGAAATGTATGAAACACGAATATAAAATTTATATTACAACATCGAAATTGAAAGATTATCCGCGTTTTATTTTATTTTTGTCTTTCTCCTTTTTCGCGTTTTTTTTTTTTTTTTTTTTGTCAGTAGCCGATTATATGTATTGACTAGTATATACCAGTAGTGTTTGTATCTCTATTTTCCTCTTCGTTGCTCTCATGACGCGACCGTTAAAAAATCAAGCAAAACGGTTCGGGCAAGCAAGTTCATCGTATCCCTACTCGCCAAGAATAACACCGCCCACTTCAGCTCGTAGACGGCTCGGTGTGGTTGGATCGTGTATACGTTTCAACGTTTTTACACGAGAGACCACACGTGAACCACGTCTCGGGCGACATTGCTTCCGTTGACTACGTTTACATGCATATATATATATATATATATGTATACGTTACATGTAATAATTGACAGAATTTCCAAATCGTGCCTTATCGCAGTTCCCTTGACATCATTCACGATATCTTTAGTTCTCTGTGACGATACTTTAATTACTTTATGGCACTTCTTTACGAAATTGTTTACTTTGAACTACGATAGAGACTCGTCGATGTGACATACTTTTAACAGGTCACGATAACTAGATTTGTTTCCAATATAATTATATTGAATATGATTTAAGAATTGGTTAGGAAAATGATTTTCGTAGATATGTATGCACCATACAGGCTAGAGATCTATGCGTTGGTCTCCCTCGTGAATGCAAATGCTTTGCGTTCCTTCTAAGAAAGCCGGCTGATTGGTGGGGGAAAGAGAAACGAGAGAGAGAGAAAGAAGGAGGAAGAAAGAAGGGAAAGAAAGAGGGGACATTATTGGCGGACGTTTCCCGCCAATATTCCCCACTCTAAGCTAACCGGTTTGTTGTTAGAGGGACCGACCTGCCTCTTTTGGAATATTTCTCAGCTGATCGTCGCAATATTACCGCTTTTTTCCATCAAATCGTATCTTTCTTCATTTTTCTCTTTCTTTTATCTTTCCTTTATTTCTCTCTTTCATCTTTATTTTCGCAATTTTTATCGAACAAAATTCATGGATAAATTAAAAATTTAGGAAAGAAAACTGTTGTGACATGGCCAAGTTGAAAATGTGGTAAAATATCTCGGCCTCGATCGAGATATGCTTTTTGTATCGATCTTTTTGTGCAAGTGTGGGAAGATGGCCATTTTCTGTAGTACCTGTGTCTCTTGGTCACGGGGATGCCTACACTTACCTGAGATCTCAACGAAAAAGACCCCACAAGAGGGAAAGCTGCGTTTATTCGTTTTTCTTTGATCTATATGTCGCGCTTTATTGTTGTGTGGGACCTGTTGCTAGAACATTTCACGGTATTTTCATTTGTACGATTTTTTCCAGAAATAATATCACTTCAGTTCGATTTAACAGCTTTTTAACCGAAGAATTATCTTCGTCATTTCGAAATTGTAATTTTGACTTTTATCATCACATAATCAAAAAATAATTCCAAAGGAATGAAAAAAAAAAGCACACGTGGGAATAAATACATGAATAAATAAAGCAAAGAAGAAGAATAAAAAGTAGCCGTACAGTTGATACGAAAAGAATGCGCGGTCGACCTAACCTTGTTTGAAACGTAACGATCGTAACGGCAAAGCGAGATAGCGAAAAAACACGCGGGAAGCGATACGTTGGATGCGCGGATAACGTGCGTGATCGTTCGTTGCGAGGCAACCAGTTAGTAGTAGAAGAAACGAGACGAGGAGAAAAGTATTAAATAGGAATGAGCGCGGGAAAAGGTACATAGCCACGAAACCAACGACTCTCGGACGGCGTTAAAAGTATGAGCGTAAAGGGAACGAAATTGTGTTTGTGACGCGGGTAGGTAGGAGGTGAGGAGATAAGATGAGACAAGATGAGACGAGACGAGACTGAGACGAAACGAGACGATGCTACGTGGCCGGAAAGCTAAACGGCGCGGGGGGCATGGTGGAGAAGGCGAAGTTGGTGAGTCGGGGGGTGAGGATCGGGAAGCCGAAGGCTGAGTGCCGGGCTGGGGCTAGGAGGGCTGGGGCCCGGGCGAATAGGCCGACGCGCGGCAGAAA